AATATAGTGAGAGGATATTTTTGTAACAGACTGTAGATATTTTCCAGGCCAAGTGCTCCAAGCTCTCAGTAACGAGATAATTTGCGAAAAGTAACGCCCAGCTTGCTTGAAATGACCCCTATCTCTCTGTCTGGATTCTAGCTGGTTAAGAGTAGATACAAGCGATTAAATGGGCCACTTCGGGAGTGCACTCCGCGTCAAAATAGTCCGGCAGCTCGTAAAAGTTTAAGAGGGATTATGAAAATATCGTAGCCAGATTATGGTGGATTAAAGGAGTCTCGCGAAAGGGTGAAACCCAGAGAGGAATAAGGAGTATACGTGGCTCTTTGACGAAAGAAGTATCGAGAGGCACAAGATTTTCTGAACTCTGTTTCTTGAAAATTTTCCTGTAACTTTTCACCAATGAAATTTCGTTTCTTGCTTTTCATATCCTCGTACAATGTAGGTACAAATTTTCACTTACGCGTGTTAACAAAATTGCCTTGCTTAGTTAAAACATTCTATCTACCAGTTTTCATTAGTTTAGGTATCTCGAAATATTTTCACTTCTCAAACAAAGTTAGAATTAGAGAAACATTTTCTTAGAATTTAAGAAAATACTTTCCCTGTTTATATTCTTATAATGTATTATATTATTTAGAATATTTTAGTAAGCAAACGAGTACCGTAATTATCTTCAGTTGATGGTTCTTAAAGCATAATGAATTCCTTTGTAATCGTGACTGTAATTTGATTTCAGTCCTATGAAAGCACTTTACTGTATGAGATTATGTACAGAATCCTTTGCGGTAGCTTTTAGAGGAGGTAAAGAGGAAGCATTCCTAATATTTCTGGGATAATATTATTATTAATCTCTCTGAACACACAGCTTTAAATATATTTTGATATTGTTATATTTTCTCTCTCGTATTATGATTACATTTTATGCTTCTATTTTTGTTAATGTTTTTCATGACAATAATGATTTGGAATTTGAAATGAGATCTTATTCTTTTTCAAGATTGTAAATAAAAGAATGATATACTAAATTGTTTAGATCCATTTAGGAGTTGAATGGAATTTCAAGGTACTCATTTGTTGCAATTTGGTAGCTAGGGTAGGGTATCGCGTTGACTGGTCAATTTTACAATAAAGAAGATAGATGAAACGAAGCGAATGTTGCCAGCCAGTAGTTTACTCCTACATTTCTCATCGTTTTCCTTTCTCATTTGTTACGCGTTTATGTTCATTTCGATTTCTCGACCACCTCGAGATTTTCCGATTTTTTGTTTTCTTTTCTTAATTTCAATCGATCGCAGTAAATTGTACTAAAAATAAATAAAGTAGATCAACGCAGATATGATTAAATATCATGCAAAACAACGAAATTGCTCGTTAACAGAGAAATAGAAAGTTATAAGTATAACAAGATAAAGTTAAACTGATGACGTTCTCGACGATTGCCACGATAACGAGATTTTCCAGAATCGGCCAGAATGAAATTAACATCTATCGATTACACGCGACGAGGAGTTTCGTTGACTCATGAAAATGTAACGGCTACGGTTGCGCGAACTCCGATAGTTTTCTCGAAACTTTGTCAGCCGTAACTAAATTTCATCGAATCAACGAAACTTTCCCACCGTATTCCCGTCCTCGACTGAATCGCGGAATTCCGGAAAAGTTTCGAGATCAGCGTTCGTGATCGCGTAAACGTTTGCGACCGAGAAGAACCGAACTGTAGTTGAATTTAGCGAAAGGAAGGGGTAGTTTCGATACCCTGATTGGCCGAAGCATTATCCAGCAGACGGTTCACCTAAACTTCTCATCCATAGAGATATTCTGGTATTATTAAATTTTGTTATAATACTTATAATAAACCTGGGGTAACCGGTTACCTCTAATAAGAAAAGGATATCTTCAAAAATATATTTTTTATTTGAAATCGAAATTGATAAAAAAAGTTATTTGAAACGATACACTTTTTACATATAAAATGCTAAGTAATCAGAAATTCGGGTAAACATATCCCACATTCAGGGTGTGTTCGAAAAAGGAGCTCGGAAAGCGGTTCAATCAGGGTCAGGAGCCAAAGCAAACACATTAAGGACATAACATCCCTAACAGGAAACACGTCCCGGCCAATAGGAGAGCGGATCGCGATACGCTCGACTAGCACGGAAATTCGAAGAGTCTTGAGAATCGAGGGTGAAAAAACTCCATGGGGGGTTTTGGCGCCGTTACACGTCCTGGAACTAATCTCGTGTCTGTAAACTCTGTTTCCTTTTGTTTATCCATTCGTAAATGGATCCGACCCGTTTTCTTTAGCCCAAGGGAAAAGCGAAAAGCTACGGAACCGCGTTATTTTCCAATTTGTTTGCATGAAAATCTGAGAGGAGCTCGTTAATAAAAACAAACAGCCCTTGGAAAGAAGATAATAATTATATCTAAGGGTTTCTTTCTGATTTATAGAGATTATTTACAAAATTTCAAATATCATCAGCAGAGAATTACGCTTGTTTCTAAAAAATAATTCTTTATAACTAAATATAATTTTGATGCAATTTGACGGTTACCCATAATTGTTATCGGTATGTCGCCCATAGATAGTGGTTTATATCGATACCTGTCAATGTCCAGAACAATGTGTGTCAAATCCGTAACGTTATCGCTTTTGCACAGACGATTTATAGACAGATGTCAGTCGAACCATTCCGATTCCACTATATGAACACTGATAACTGTCTGATATTATATTAAAAATCCTTTTTCATATGTATTTGATAATGAAACATCTCTAATTAAGTTTATATAGTTCCTTTACAAAACTGACATAATATTAATGCTACGTTCAATTTCCATTTAATGTTTGTCAGATATTGAATTATATTGAATTTGTGGTATCGATCACCGATCGCAGCCACACCGTTCAACATGTTAAAACTGCAGGAACGTTGTTGAGGTAGCTAATAGTTTACACGGTGGTAGAGAAGAGCATCAGTCAGAATTGCTAATCCGAATTAAACGGGGCCTTTGAGTTAGCTTGATGTAACTTTGAGAAACACATCGGGATCGTCTTACTTGCTTTCAGCATACATTTAAGGTGCAGCCACACTCTCGCAGACATTAGTAGACAGCAGCGAGTGGCAGTAGTTACTGGCTGTTCATACGACAGACATGATTTTCTACTTAGCACTGCCAGAAGAGGCAGCCATTGGACACTTTACCGAGAGAAAGCCATAACCTATCTTCTCGGTTGCTTACCCTCTTCCCATATGCGCTCTCAAGTCCCGTGGGAAGAAGAAGTGGCAGATCTCTTTACGGATTTTTCCTTCAGTCATCTTCAAACTAAATTGATAGATCGTTTCCTGATCCCTCGAAGGTCCGATCGCTGTGTGCTTATGGTGAATCCAGGGTAAACGTTTGATAGATTTCACTGCGTTTCGAAAAATGGTTTCTCATTCGATTCTAACAACTCCGCAACTGAGGGTTCAAATAACAGTTACCCATAATCTTGGTTTCATAACAATCTTGATTATGTCCATTTGTTGGCCGCTCGAAACCCCTCGACGCCGTTCTGGAACTTAATCCACCTGAGTTGGCTGCACGCGTTCCTCGAGGGATAGCCCAAGATTTATCTTCCTGAAATATTTTCCCGCCGGGTGTTACCAACACACGATCGCGTTCCACGGAATTGGAGAACGCAACTAACGTTACACTTACACTTTTTCCTCCTCGACACACTTACCGATCCAACCCCGCCCGTTCTGCATCCGTACGTAAAGGCAACCACCCTTTCTACGTGTACAGAATTCCAGCAGGTACTTCCGGATAGGTACGGCTGATAAAGTGACGTGTAAATATGTCGGCGATTTTGCATCGGGCGTATCTGGAGGCGCGGCAAGTCTAGCGGCCGTAAAATCCGCTCCGGGGCTAAATGAAATTATAAAGCGTGGCCATTTTGCGTGTGCACAGTTTCGGGCTTTAACCGCGATAAACTTCTTTTTACGGGGTATAATTTGTTCGTACGTTGCGTCCGTAAAACAGCCTACCGTTACCTCTCCTATCTCGTTATTTATCGAATCGCTTACGTTCCAGAGAAATTTAAACCCCAGCAAAATAACAGGGCAATAGTAATGAATGCAAAAAGAAATCGAAATTATTATGAAAAGAAGGAAGGAATAATAAAATATTAAGACATTAAAAAAAGGAAAATATGAGAAGAAATTAATTTAACTTCTCGAGATTTCGATAGAAATGTCAAACAATTTAGTCCGATTTATGACATGATATTCAATATTAGCTCCATGTTTACTGGGTATATATTTGCACATAAAGTTAACGTGGCGCCGGAGTAAGAAGATTAGGTAACTTTTTACTCAGTGGCGGCGCTTTTATGGACGAAAGATCAACAGTAGAGAAGAGAAACCGATAATGACAGTTCGTGAAGTATTAATCAGAGCAGCAAGTTGATCAAATCAATTTATCAGCATTTCATTTCATTACGATGCATTCGACTGGCGAAACCAAAGCGTCAGCTTGACGGCTGTTGGCGGCTTAAGTGGAATGCCGGCGGATCCATTGATCTATACTACTGAATTTTTATTTCTACTACTTCTTACTCCATGTCTAACAGTCTCTCGGTACTTTCTGATTCTTCCTTTGAAGTTATAAAGTAACCACACTTAATATGTCACATATATCATAAAAATTGAAAAATTATTAAAAATGGTTATAGTTAATTTTCAAATCTTAAATTTCAATGCTATTTAAAATGAAATTTTCTCATTTTCAATATACTCTTTGAAAATAATTTAAGTAAACTGCGTACGAAAGAAATTTCTTACGTTATGTGTACTAAGATTATTATTTCTTTAGCACCCTGTATTGAAATTTTTAATTTTATTGCCATTTAAAATAAAATTTTCTCATTTTCAATATACCCTTTGAAGATAATTTAAGTAAACTGCGTACGAAAGAAATTTCTTGCATTATGTGTACCAAGATTATTATTTTTTTAGCACCCTGTGTATCAAAGGGAGCATGTCACTAGTATGATATCGAATTGCGTAGTCATACGTGAAGCCAGACAGATGATGCACCGATCGCCCGAGGCAATTCAGATCTTCGTGTACCCAGCTTGTCTATGAGATTTACCGTGAACCCAGACGAGATACGTACGTGCAGGGGAGGCCGGTCTACCAGAGGAATTCGTAGATCGCGATCCAGAAGATAGGAATGGTGGAAAGAAGAAGGAAAAAGGGAAAAAGAAATAGAAGCGGAGAGCATAGAGAGGAAAAGTCTCGGAGGGATTCGGGGTTACAAAATCCGTTCGTGAAATATCCACGGTTATTTTGCAGTATATAGCCCCGAGATACGATCTTATCGTGTGACAAACGTAGCGACAATAATCGTTGGATAAGTTTCCTCCGGAAGCAGATTGTTAGTGGGTCGATCGTGTCGGTGCGCACCCTTGGAATCCTTGCCAAGGAGGATCTTTGTAGTTGGGGATTAAGGAGTGAATGAAACACAGATTAAAATGAAACTTGGTATTTCCTGTTCGGGATAATTACTGTTTGAGAAGTGAAAATTGAGGTGCGAATTGTACGAATGAATTTACTCTTCTTACATAATTATATATCATTTCAGGTTACAACAAGCTGAAGAAATGCAATTTCATATTGAAAATTAACCAAGTGAATGCTTTTTTCTTTGAAAATGCTGAATGGAAAATTTGTTGATAACAACAGAATTCTGTTAAGGGACGACTACACGCGTCGTGGTTTGATTAATTGATTCACAGAGACGAACTGAAAGGAAAGTTACTGTCGGTCGTTCACGTTGGCGGTACTATTGTTTCATAATTAATCAGACAAATCGATATACATTGCTACGTATTCTGCTTTCAGGTCTCAAAGCTGAGCTGTACTACGTCCGAGAAGGGGTGGTCAATACCTACGCGATGAACTTTGTCGTGCCGGTACCTTCGAACATTGCAGATCTTGAATTCTCTTGGCAGAGTCTTGCTGGACATCCGGTAAGTAAATTACAAACTGCAATTTTAAATCGATATTTAACGATGTCCAATCGTTGAACCAATGAAACCATCTCATCAATTTTTTTAATAATGACAATTCCTTTACCCTTTTTATTTTTTGATGTTCTTGTTTACACCTGTAACTCGTAACACTCCGTTCTCCATTTTCAAATACAAACAAGACCCTCGTGTGCTTTGTACCACAGTTTGTTCGTTTCACCATATTTCTCTGTCTCGTTTTATTCTACAAAAGAGATCCATCCATTCTAGTCGCAGCTTATAACTGCCTCTCGGGAAGGCAATAGGGTTGCACATAACGTTACACGTAGCCTTGGTAGGGTCTTGGAAAATGCTTGCGCCGGCCATTAGTGAGGTGCAACAATGCGGAACAAAGTAAACACGTGACCGGGGTGAAATGGTAACTCACGGCACGCTCGTTTACGTTCCCGGGACTACTAGGACGGGTGTTAGTAGCGCGGTCCGTCACGGTGGTACAGAAGAGGGATGGGGTTTGGTGGACGAGTTTGTCGAACGGAGGGGTTACAGGAGAGCTGTATCAATACTCTATCAATATGAAATACAAACAGGCAGTGTTCAAGAGAGGAAGGAAGGGCGACGGTTCGGTTTTGCGTTCCCTTCGGTCACCAAGGAAACCGTACGCGCCTCTGCAAACCCTCTGGAACGAGCAACTGGCTGAGAAATCCTGAAAACTCCTGACCCTTCTATTATTCTCCCGTTTGGTCGGGAACGTTTCGCGTCAAGGAAAATCAACCCCACCTGTTTATCGTTACGCGCCACGATTCTTCGAAATTTCATATTCATCTCTGACGAGATACTCGACTTTATCACCGTATTTAATTGGCAAGTTGAAATGGTAAACGATGTTAGAAGTGAACAATCGTTTTTCAAATTTTGTTGCCTGTCTTAAAAATAATTTATGTGAATATTGTAAAGGAATAGTATCCTGAAATTTCCTTAGAATATTATGTTTTATAACTCGTGGATCCCTGTCGTATTTTACTTGAATGTCAACATTTCACATATGTGGTAATGTAGAATTTTTCAAATCGTATTCATTAAAGTTTGCAGATTAGTACGTGTAGATAAAATAATAGAATAACTTTGTATATAGGTATACACAGTTCCCAGGTTTTATCCCGAGGGAGCATTTTCCATACCTTCGTTTCATTATCTCCTGGATTTCTCCATAGGTTTGTTAACCATGCCATTCCCACGGCCACGAAAGCCCCGTTTCGCCTTATCTTCTTTGCCTTAGGGCAATTCCTATGTCCCTTCTCTGTGGAACTTTGAATCTAGATAAAGAAAAATAGGAATCAGCGCAATGGACCAATTTCGGTAACAGATCTACTAAGAAGTTACGTTTAATGGAAATGACTGTTATCTAAGTGGTCCAATAATATCATTTCTTTTTCGTGCTTACTTTACGTTTGTAAACGTGTAAAAGGCAATACTGCTCGTTATTTACTGCTTTATCAAAATTTGAAATCTTATGAAAAATTCTTCTTGATAAAGGGCCAACATAATTTCCCAAAGATTTAGCAAAAAAATAGCCGGAAACAGGAATCCAGAACATGGAAGATGGGTGAACAGCCACGAACGATAATTTACATGGGAATTGCTCGGCACGATGGAATGGGAAATACGATGGAATCCAAAATGCGATCGTAGAAAATTGCACGCTCGATGAAGCGAAATTCATTCGATCAACGAGAGAAATGTTACATTCGAGTCAAGATTTTCTAGCGTGTTACGAAACTTATCCCAATGATGCACCCGTGTTCGTGGAAGATCGACCAATCGCACGTAAAAGTAATTTTATCGTAACGTTTATAGGACGGTTAGGTTCAGCTTCGTTTCAGTATAACTCCTCGAAGTAGAACAGAAAATCAACAGAAATTTGGAAAGAATTTCTACTGTTTACTCGCTGTGACTCATCGTACCACTTCTAGTCGTCATTTATGTATCCTCATCTTGTGATCAGGCTTGGAACATCTCCGAGATTGGGAATCGTTTAATTTGATCCGATCTGGAGCAGAAAGTTCGATCGCACCCTCGTGATTCAGCACACTTTGTTCCTTTTATCTATCGATACGATCAGACCCAATGCAACCGTACTGCAGGGGATTCGATGCTTCAGCTTCGATTCCTCGATGCTTATCCGACATCGGTAAATGTACTTCTCGTTTGTTATTCGCGGTTTTACCGTCGAAAACCCGATTAATAACGAGCAGATTCCTCTTGCTGACGTTTGCTCTCATCGTCGGTAAAACGAAACGAAGTAGAAACAGATGCGGTGGAAATGATTAACGCGGTCACTCTTGCAAATTCAATCTACTGAAATAATTAAAAAAAGGAGGATAAAGAAAAAGCTTGAATATCATGTGAAAAATACTATCGAATATACAACTAAAAAATTTGTCAGCATAGCAATTAAGAATCCGAAAATAAAATAAAAAGAACAATTAATTGTTTTGGCAAGGAAAAGTGGTGCAGTAAGAGATCGAAAGTTGAAGGAATAAAAAAAAGTAGAGCTGAATTTCCAACATTATCACCCTCGATTAAGCTCCAGATTCTTGAAACAGCCAATCGCCTCTTGGTATTTTATTTTCTTCGCTACTCTCTTTCTTCTTTATATTCCTTTCTCTCTGTCTGGTTTCAATTCGCCGGGGAGAGCGAAAAGAAAGTTATTGGTCGCCATAGACGTGGCTATAGACTGAAACGAAGTTTTTCACTGTAGCGGGGTGAGACGGGGTGGAATTGGGGATGATTTGTGAATCATCCACTTGTTAGGCGAAAGTTCTTCGCTACTTCTCTCCCCCGGGCTAGGACTTTGGACAGCGAATAGAGGGTGCTACTCTACTCCATTTCGCTCTAGAATTATGGAGAACCGTTCTCTTTCCTTCCCTTTTTTCTCATTTTATAAATTTCAAACATTTTTCTACTTCTCTCGCATACCTCTTACGCCTTTCCGTACTTCTTTTCTTTAATACATGACAGATTTAGTCATCAATGGATTTTCTACTTTACGGTTGAAAATTATAAAATATTCTGGATAGAAAAATCAATTCGGGAATGCGTTAAATTGCTGATCCTTCTCGCTTGATGTTTGTTACTCCGTCCTGCTCTTGTCAATTTGAATTGTATCTTCTGTCTCGGCGAGAATTGGTGAACAAGGACGGAACGAATACAAGGGGGAATTCAACATGGCCACCCCAGGGCGACAATTACTTGTAATACCGTCGGTCTCGTGGGGCCGATGGGAACTCGATGGGGCGTACTTTCGGTCAGAAAAAGGATATTACTGTAGCCTAGATCGACTCTACCCCTATTGCGCGGAGGGTGCGACGCGTCGCTCTTGTCTTATCGTACTTTCACGTGGCTGATGACCCACGAAAAGCCACCCTCTATTCGAATTGTCGTAAATTACACGTATAGCATACGTGCTTAAATACTATGCAAAACTAATAAGAAATATAATAAATATTTCTTTATAATTTTGAATAATAACTGACATTTTTTTATTATTTCTGAAAACAAAACAATCTATATTTATATGGTTATCATCGATGTTACAATATTATTTTTCACAGACATCACTTCCTGCTCTTTACCTCGCTAATACTATTACCTTCATTAAACCGGCACGCAAACCGGGAAATGTAAAACGGAAAATGATATTACGAACGATTTTAATTGAACCCGTTCCACATCATATCGCGACAAATTAAATCAACGATACGAGCCGAGCATCAATACTCACCGCGGCGCGATGCGTTCGTAAGTACAATAAATTCTGCAATAACAAAATTATCTTGTCACCGTGTAATTGATGGTTTTTCCGCGGGCGTATAGAACGTTGAATAGACATCTCATCCCCCTGTTCAATCGACCAATAACACCCGTGTCGAATGAAATTACCCTTAAAACTACCGGTGTTCCCTGCTACAACAACAAACTCCGTATAAAGTCCACTCAAATCCTCGTTATCAGGCGAAAGTTCATTTTTCATTTTAATCACTACCCACCAACCCCTTCACACGGTTAGTTTACGCGAGGCAACCGTTAATTAATTAAATAGAGACCGCAAACAATTTATTACGTCACGCGATACGTATTCATCGAAACGTGCATACACGCGCAGGACTAACGATGGTGTTTTAAACGAGGCTCGTCTTCGAAGCGCAGGACAATGACGGCAGATTCGAATTAATTGCAAATTCACCGAGATCACGGCTGGTGACGCGATGTGATTAATGTCCGGCCTGCTGTTAATCCGAAGACCGACCGCACCCTTTCCTTCGCCTGTTCTTCTCCTTCTCTCCTTCCTGCTTCCATATAGTAAGTCCTGTGGGATAACAGCCCTGCGTTTCGGATAACAGGGAATATCACCCACGGGGACACCCGACACCAACGGTCTACACGCGCCGGCTAGCCCGTGACAAACGCACCCACCGCGGATTATACGACATAATCGCTCGAAACCCGACCATCCGACGCGACGCGAACCGACACGACGCCCGGACAGATGGACGCACTTTGCTGCATTATAATTTCCAGTGGAACAGTTGAGAAACTTACCGAATCGATCGATTAAATTATTGGAAAACTCGAAACTGACGCGAGTATTTCTGTCCAATTTAGATGGAAAATATTTTTATCCTTAGTTTATCAGAAAATGTAACAAAGAACTTTATTTGGAACTACGTACATGTACCGTTTAAAACGTTCGAATAACTTTCGATTTGTTGGAAATCGTACAAACAAGCCGTTACCACGCACGATATTCTTGTAGCGAAGTTTTCGTGTACTCTGCGCGAAGTTTCGAAACTTAAATGCTCGCTCGACAAGACCTTACGACTCGAACGTGGACCGCGTTTAAACTGGAAATTTTGTGTATACTGTATAATGCGATCTTATTATGTTAAGGTATACGCTGGGCCGCGACGGTTTTCGAGGGTGAATGTATAATAGAGCCGGCA